GGGGATCCGACACAAAAAGCCTAATCACAATTTATAAAGCACTTATACTTTCATTAATTGACTATGGAGACATCATATACAACTCAGCAAAAAAAAAAAAAGACCTAAATACTCTGGATCCTTTACACAACCTTGGCATTCGCTTGGCCATTGGAGCCTTCAGAACGAGTCCTGTCGATAGCATACTCTTTTACGCAGGAGAACCCCCTCTACAATATAGACGCCATAGCCATATACTAAAATATGTGACTAAAATTAAAAATCTGACTGACCACATCACTGAAAACATCATCCACAGCACTCTACCTACCAATATACTGCTCTCCCGAAACACAGTATTTGAAAACTTCAAAATAATCAATAATAAATTAGATTTCTAATCACAATCACTAAACAAAATTCAGCCTCCTCTCCTTCCGTGGCTCTGGTCGCCAAAAATCAACACCCAATTGGCTGAATTCTGTAAACATAATACAGATAGTTGAATCATACTCAACCATTTTGTAGAAATAATGTCACAACAATATCCGGACTATACACAAATATACAAAGATGCTTCCAAAAGTAAAAATGGGGTGGACTTTCCTATAATCACAGATTGGGAGAACCATCTTTTTAAACTACCATCGTCGTTTAGTATATACACAGCTGAAACTCGTGCTATTTACCGAGCACTATTAATCATCTCAACTTCAAACCCAACAAACTGTCACATCATTATCAGTGACTCTCTGAGTGTCCTACTGCAATTTCTAACCCCTACCCTAAAAATGAACTTATTCAACACATACAGAAATTAATATCTAAAATAAACATCCCCACATGTTTCAGGTGGGTTCACTCACACATTGGGATACCCGGGAATGAAAAAGTAGACACATCAGCCTATGAAGCCATTACATCTCCACAGTCCATTAAAATCAGCTCTACTTCCTCATTTGAAATCTTCAGCATAATTCACCAAATAATAATGGAAAAATGGCAACTTTTTTGGGAAAATATTCCACTTACCAACAAACTGAGAAATACAAAATTACTCATCAAGAAACTAAACTACCCTCCCGGCACAAAAAGAAAAGACGAAGTAACAGTCACTCGAGCCAAAATAGGCCATTCTTACTTAACACATGTACATCTCATCAAAAAAGAACCAGCACCCATATGTGATACTTGCAACGTAACTCTATCAATTGAACATATCGTAATCATCTGCCCCAAATACACTGAAGCACGCAAGATACTCCAAAATCCAGCATCACTTTATCAAGCCTTCAAAGATGAAAACACAGCTGCAATCAGTACACTTTTATATAATATAAACACTAAACACCCATTGTAAATAGTAACTATAATAATGTAGTAAAATTTATTGTAAAACTTAATGTATACATATATATATATATATTTCTTTCTTTCTTTTTCATGTATAAATTTTAATTGTAGGCTAAAAACCTGTGTTGTTGAAGCCTTAATAAACTTTAAAAAAAAAATATATATATATATTAATGTAATTAAAACAAATTTTAAAAAACATTTTGGACTAAGAAGTTGTAAGAATACTACAACTGACCTATGTATGGCATTAAATATTAATCTTAATACTAATCAAAATATATCTTGTTTTAAAAATTCATCTTCCATGTATATTGTTTTTGTTCACCTTTTGTTATTTTTGTTTAATAAGAATGTAAATAACTATATGCACCATGTAATAACTGTAATTTTTCTTTTTATATAATATATAAGAACTCTCACCTCTATCACAAGCATGCTTAATTGAGATGAGCAAGTTTATTGCTTTAATTATGTAAAATATACTATGCTATATTGCAAAATCTGACAAAATAAATAAATTAATTAATTAAACCATTAATAGAGCCTTAGAAACTTCAAATATTTTTAGTATTTCAAACTTAGTGATATTTGGTATTTACATTTTAATAGCTATCCAAAGTTATTTTTTTATTATTTCTGTGGGTTGGATTTAAAAATTACTAATCTTACTACTTATTAATTAATCATATTAATAAATTAATAATATCACAGTCGCGATTATTCAGTTGGGTTGCACACACGTACTTGTTGTTCGCTCCCTTATTTAATGTTGTGTCAATTTATCATTTTTAAATATTAATTAACACCGTTCTATAGGGCCGCAATCGGTTTTCCCTCTTATCATCTCAAGTTGGTAATGACACGGTTTCTACGTCCAAGAAAAGCAAAGCCAACTCTCCCACATAATTGTATACACAATCAAAAAAGCATAAATCTTCTACGGGTAAGTCACCACCTTTATCGCCTTTTGAAAGCACACCATCAATGATTTCACTCAAAAATTATACTAATGAAGGTACTTTAGAGACTAAAGATAGTAATAATATAGTAACTAATATACTAATATATAATATTCAGCTGGATATTAATTTACCTATCTTAGACCCAGTCTCTTCTATATCAGGCGCAAAGCAACTCAACGGGCATGAAACATTTTCCACTGACTACACCGGCCACCTTTATATAATCATTTCGTCTACCGAAAACAAAAATGTTGGAATTTGCATCCTGTCAAGTTAGACTAACTTTGCATTAAAAACTTTAAAGGTATTACCAGCATATAACCAATTGGTTTATATAGAGTTAAAATTACGTTTGACTCTCCACATAATGCCAATATATGCCTAATTACTACATGACTACCTGAAAACAACTTCGCGGCTAGTATTCCAAACTCTCTTATAGTTTTGGAGTCATACACCTCGATCTGTGCGTTTCCGAGGACGACTTCTGAGAAGGTTTCGAGTGCCGCTACAAAGCTACATCCCCCAGCATTCGTTCACCAGTCCAGTGTATGCGTTACCTGAGGTTTGGGCATACTCAGAAATACTGTTGTAGTAAAGAACGTTGCAGTCACTGTGATGAATTTAATCATTGCATCGACACGTGCGAAATTTGTCTAACTATTGCTCCAAAATGTTTTAATTGTAATTTAAACCATATTGCTTCCGATCGTTCCTGTGCTGAATGGTCTACCCAAAAGGACATCAGAAGGATCATGGCGGAAGAACACAATTTTTTGCGGAAGTCACCCAAATCAAACGTTCAGGTACTGTCCAGAAGGACCACACTTTTACCGATGACGCAAACCCTTTTAAAGGTGTTTTTACAAATTCTTTTACTGTAAAAGAAGCCAGCTCCACCTCTCCTCAATCCTTTTTCCTGCATCTTTCAAACTCTCAACCTAAACGGAAAAAAAAGAAAGAATTTAATTTCTACAAATAACAACTTTTCTCAGTATTCCTCTTTGATATAGTCTCAGAACATTTTACCAATCTCACCAAACGGTAGTTATTTCAATTTTGTTGACCAACCGGTCTCCAACTTTATTGATTTTCTTTCTGATCAAATTACCTTTGCATTACTATTCTCAAACTAGCTCCCCATCTGCTCTTAAGTCTTTAATCGAGTCTTCTTTATATTAATTTTTAACACCAAAGTCAGATGATGATGAGACGTTCTAACAATAATCCTCCTATATTTTCACATTATCCATCCAGCGCTGCTGATCATTTTAAGATTCGGTAATGGAATGTAAGAAGCATCCGTTCTCATTCTCCAGACTTAGCTTCTATTCTTTTCTCGGAAAAATGCTCGATTGCTCAACTCTTATCTTTCATCATTTAGACCCATTGCCTTATCCTTTGCCCTGTGCAAAATTGTCGAATTCATAATTAAAATACGTCTCGGCTGATTTTTAGAAAAGAACAATCTCATCCCTAACAATTTATTTGGGTTTCGACGTGGCATTGGTACAATAGAATGCCTGTCATCGCTTGTGGGCCCAATTTATGATACCTTCTGCAACAAAAATATTTTGTGTGCCGCTTTTGTAGACATCAAAGGAGCGTTTGATTCCGTATACATCCCCATTCTGATCTTTCAACTTGTTTCACTTCTGAATTTAATCTTAATAAAGTTTAATGGAGAGGAGGAAAATTAATTGTAATATTTCCTATGGCCCATATCATTTTTGTTCATAACATTTGTATAGTGACTAAACTTATTATAATTTAGTTAAACAGTTACATAATATGTATATAATAGGCAAAAATAAATTTATGACAAGAATTGTTTAGTATATTTATGGAAAGTTAATTTTATAGTTGTTAATAAGATATAAGTATCATAGGGAAAAATATTTTAAATTAATTAAACCAAGGTTTTTTTTTACTTACATTTTAAATATTTTTTTTATTAATTCAATATAATATTTAACAATATTGAGATAATATAATCTAATAATACTTATGTACACAACAATGTTCTTAATCATTTTAAAATAGCATTTCAATCTGACAATTTTTCTACTTAAAAAGCATACTATAGTTGCAGTATGCCAATACATGTTAATAAAAATCATTAATTAGACAAATAAAAGTATAAATTAAGAAATTAAGAGTACAATAATTTAATATATATATATGTATTTTTTTAAATGAGAAAGAACAATTATATTTTAAGGTTTATAATATATTTTATATATAATCATATATAATACATCTCTATATAATATTTATGATATATAATATCCTTTACTTTATGCTAATATTATTTATAATAAGTTTTCAAAATACACAAAAAAAAAAAAAAAAAGAAAATCGTCAAATATGGTAACTTTATAGGTTTAAAAAACATAAACATGTTCGCAAAAGCATTAACATGTTTTGATGCTCTAAGAGAAAAAAAATACATTTGATTATTTAGTTATTATTTTCTGTAAAATAAATGATTTTCACCAATGATTTCTTAATATTGATATAATATACTTTTATTTTTATATAATATTATTAAGTACCCTAAATATTTTTAATTAAAATAAAAGATTAGAACAAATATTAGTCATATGTTATAGCAATAACTATTTTAAAGGAATATTTGTAATAAATTTATAAATTATTTTCGTTCACCAAAATTTAAGTTTAACATGACCACTATTAACTTTGTTTTATACATTAAACTTTGCATTCACAAACATTACATTAAACATAACTTTGAATTAATTACATACATGCCCTTATTTATAAAAACACAGTTCTTAAATCTATGAGTAATAGTAACTATATGATTGGGAGGGATACAACAATATAAGAAACATCAATGAATAAAAATACTAATTCCAAAAATAATTAACAATGCATAAAAATAAAAACAGAAAATAATTGAGGAATGTATTTTTAAACCTTTTAAAGGTCAAATACGGTTTCACCGTTATTTTTATGTTCTAAGGTTATGATATCAATGTTCCGTTTTGTAAATATTAATTTACTTTATTATATTTATATATTTAAAATCGTAACAACTGAGGGAACATTAACCTGAATATATTTGTGTTTCATTCTTGAGCAAAACCTTCAGTCTCCTCAATCGCGTAGTTGAGCTTTTCAACTAATTGATCATAGCTCTTATATGGTGGCAAGTCTAATCGATTGAAACATGTATGAGATCGAGGTAACCACGTTTCCTTGCCTACTTTCTCAATGCAGAATCTCTGCGCACCATTGCTCCCTAAATAAAATTAATATTTAAATTAGATAATAAAAATAAATAAGTTAATTTTATTACAACTTTAAATAGTTTAACACATACCCATTAATTCAGCAAATCCACCAACTGGGACTCTACACGTTCCAGTCACGAATTGTAACAGTCTTGCTCGTTTTTCATTGTCAGCTTGTTTAACAAACTAAATTTATAACACACAAATTTATTAAAAATTAATTATTTCTTCTAAAAAACAAGCGTTAACACAATTTTATAATTTATATCAAAAATAAGTTTATATCATAAAAATAGTGTGATAAATATTATTATTGTTTAAGCAATATTAGAATAAATTGTATACATTTCAATAAATATATTAAATTTGATACTATAATAGTACCTGCCAAAACCAGTTAATTTGCTTGCTGGTGCGATTATAATGTCTGTAGATAGTGTGTTGTTGCCAATCTTCAACATCAATTTCCTGCATACCACACAGCATGAGTTCAAGTTCACGTTCATCAAAATATTTCAACCATTCCAATGCAACAACTTCATTGAATCCATCCAACAATGCTTGTGTTTGCTCTTCAATACCACGAGTCATTCGCCATTCAGTCATTAGTCTAATATATTCATCTTTGTTAGCATCAGTAACTTGTACTTTATCTCCATTTTCTATCAATTCATGATGGACAACTTGACCAAGGACTTCAAAATCAACCCCAAAGAACATTTCAATATCACTTTCTTCTAAATTATTATCACGAACCCAAACCAATGAGTTATAAAATTCTGGATCAATTGACTCAATATCTTTCATGGTGAGTTTTTTGTTCAACATACGTTTATAAAACGGCATGGTGAAACCAGAATAAATAAATCGACCATGATATAAAGCCTGCAATTTAAAATTAAACATATAATTCATGATAATTAATTGAAAATTTGTATAAAATATTTACCATTGCTATAAAACGTCCAATAAATTTAAAGTATAACAAGTGATCTGGATTAACATAAGAAGCAGGATTTATTTGAAGACTGTAATTGTTTTTGTTTGCGTATTCAAATAAACAATACATTGGGTTAAGTACTTCGTGAGAGAGTAAAAAGAACCATTCTCTATTAATTTAAATAATAAAATGATTAAAATTTGAATTAAAATTATTTATTAGTTAATAACTATTTACCGAGAAACACCACCATAATCTAAGCCTTCTTCTCCACGAAAGACTATATATAAACGTTTTCTCATTTCATAAGCAGCAGATCTCATTATTTGATGATAAGAATCTTCAAATAAAGTTTGTCTAGAAACAGTTATCTTGATGTGGCTTGATATTGCATTACTCTGACACAAATATCGAAATTGACTAAGTTTCCAACGGAATGACCTTTCATATGCAGCGGGTACCCCATAAGGACCAGATAAACTAAAATATAGAAAATATATTTCTATTAATTATTCCATAACTAAATAATTTTTTTTTAAAAATATTTACCAATGAATAGATGGTACATTACGAGGATCTTCGAATGTAGTTGTATGAGTATTATGATCAACAAAATATCTAATTCCATCAGTTGTTTTTCTTACTTCCCAGCCAGTTGGTAGATCAGAGTTATCAATTACCAATTCGGTTCTATCAAATAAGTAATTCAATTATTTACTTGAAATACTTTTAAAATGTTTTTAAATTATAACTATACCCTTGAGTACGTGGATCTTCCCATTGAGTAATGCGACTTTTATGATTTACAAAATAACATCTACCATCAGGTTGTACACGCTTTTCCCAACCATTAGGTAACTTTCCCATACGATCTTCTTCATCAAGAACTGGGTTTGTAGTTGATGCTCCTGTAGCACTTTGTCTATTATTTGGTCCTGAACCTGTTCCCACTGCATGCTGAAAATGAAATGGCACAAGGTTAAAGTAAATAAAAATAAGTTACATATAAATATTATACTTGTGGATAAAGGAATCGCTGATTTCCCTGTTGAACTACATGCGCTCTTTCGCCTTGCCAATGCTGGTAATGTTGTAATCTTTCACTGTTAGGACGTTGCCATGTAGTAGTACGTGTATTATGATCCACATAATAAATACGTCCACGGTTATCTCTTCTTAGTTCCCAACCTGCTGGTAATGGCTGAGGTCGTTCCCAAGAAGTTGATTTAGTATTATGATCTACATAATATTGTCGTCCAAATGCATCAAATCTCATTTCCCAACTATAATTAAATTATTAAAATAAGACCTAAGTTAAATAATATTATACTAAATTCATATACCCAGCAGGTAACGGTTCATCAATTGGTAAAGTAACAGGTCCATTTTGATGATGAATGGTAATAGTCCCTTCAGCTGGACTACTTTGCACTGCTGATGTTGGAGGACTACGATTATTTGTCAATATGTTGTTAGTCAATGCATTATTTGTATGATTATTTGATATATTCGAATCTAAGTAATAAGAATTAATTAAATTAATTTTTTTTTTTTTTTAAAGCTTAAAAATAACAACCTGTTAGTAAGATCGGTGGTGATGCATTAGCTGTTGCATTACGATTACGTACTCTAACTCCATAGCTGAAATATCCATTTGATAATCCTACTACAAAAAAAAATTTAATTGATTAATTAATATTTTGATATTAAATTATTAAATATACTTTGGTGATTAGTACTGGTGCTTGGTTCTCTGGGGGGATTCGAAACTTGAGACATATCTATTTGAAAACCATTCAATATGGTAACTAATTCCCCGACCTTGACCAAATTGTTGGTAGCAGATGAACTTGTTGCAAGATGATCATTATGACGTGCTCGCATTAAATCAATTGTTAGCTCCAAATTATCACAGACACCATTATAATTAGATAAAATATCATATAGACTTATACTTTTTTCAGCTATTAGTACATCTTTTTGAAATTTATAATAATCTAATACACGATAATGCAATATTGAGTAAGGAGTAACAAGTCTGAAATAAAATATCAACATGATTAAAAATTAAAATAACAAAATTATATAAAGTATAATTTCAACATACACAGTAAATTCTTCGTTCCATTTGGGTTGATAAGTATTTTTGATAACTTCTGTTTTATGTCTTTTGAAATCATCAACATTAAGTTCCACATATGGATGTGGTTTTATCAATCCACCATTGTTTTTTAAATGCCCACTTTCAACTGAAAAAATCAATATACATAAATATAGTTATGAATTATTACAATAATAATAACAACTAATTCAATTCATTCATAAATTATTTAATGAACTAAGGATTTAAAAAGTATTACATACCTTTTTAAAAAGGTATTATCATTTTATTGTTTTTGTAGTAAAATAATTTTCAAATAAATGAACTATTTTTATTTATTTAATTGTTTTTAATATTGAAACTAACATTTAACTTATTTAAAAATATCTTCTGAACTTTAACATTTTCTTTACATTAACAACATGTTAATTGATTTTTGGTTTCATTAATTGAAAACAAGATTTGATAAAAATAATAACATTAATGTAAAAATTTAAAGAGGTAAGAATAATCATTTTTAATTTAAATTGATTTATAATTAAGTATTTTATTTAGTAAAATATAGAATTCATAATAAAAATTGATATTTAAACAAATTAAAAAACCACGTTTTGAACTTACTTGTTACAAGGAGTTGGAAGAAATTTTGATTTGAAGGAGAAACAACTCTATCATGAGTCGTTACTGTACAGTTTGATAAATTATCAACAAGAGAATTCATGACAGCAAGAATATTTCACAACTCTATTTTAAAAGCATTCAATTCTTTATCATCAATTATTTCACTGGTTGATCTATCAAAACAAAATAAAAACATAAATTGTACTTATTCAAACAAATGTATAAATTAATTTTACTATACTACATTATGCAAACACTAAATTAAATTATTATTATCAATCTATAATATTTAAGAACAAAATAAAATGTATATTATTAATAGACATCAAGTAACAATTAAATATCTAAAAATGTATTGAAGTACATGAATGTATGTTTTTTCAACATTTCATGTCTTAAAAATGGGTAGAATTTTAGAAACTCATCAAGTACCGATTGAATTAAGTAATGAAAGAAAAATAATATTCACCTAGAGAAACAAGTTACTTTAAGTATTATTTGATTTAAGTCTGTATAGCTAAACTATATCTAAATTTAAGAATACATTCCAATATAAATTAATTAAATTGAAGCATATGTTAATAGAGTTAGAAAAATGTTGGTTACATATATTTAAACCAGTGGTTCTCAAATTATTTTATTTGTTAAGTTTTTGGTGAAAAAAATCTCTACAGAATCCTAAAAGCCAGCAATGTTAATTTTAAATTTCATATGCAATAATATATCATTTATTTGCTTTTCAATATTTATTTTTTGTATGTAACATAAATACAAAAATTTATTTGATTTGAAAAAAAAAAACATTATATAAATACTATTTAGTATTTTATAATATTTAATATATCAATAATATATATATTTTTTTTAATTTAACAATACATTAATACTTAGTTTTACAGGTGATATTAAATGTGAATATCTGCTCATACAGAATCATGTAAAATCTATATATATCTAACAATTTAACCAATGATAATGTTTGAATTTTATTTAATTTGGATGTGGTTTGTTAGATCACAATTTGAAAACTGCAAATTTAAACAAATGAGTCGTCCAGTTGCAAAAGGTAGTATGTCCAAACAAATAAAGTTTTCACAAACAGCAAAAAACTGATATTTCTATTAATATTTTATAAAACGTCACCATTTTTTTTCCATAAATATATATAAAAAAAAAAACATTTTACTTTTTTTAGACTATAAAAATCGTGGATAAGTAGTTTTTTAAATAATTTATATTTAAAATTGGACATATTCCCTTTTGCAACTAAAATATGGACATACTACCTTTTGCAACTGGACTACTCAAATATAAAATTAAATATGAAATATAAATAACTAAAAATAATAATAATTTCTTTTTTAATCTTACTCTTAGAATACAATTACTAAAAGTTAGTAAACGTACTTCTAAAGTATTAATCTTGTTTTAATAATAGGTTATAAACAAAATATAATTTTCTTATAACCAAAGATATCCAACAATTTTGGATTACAAATAGTCTTAAAATTATTAACATAAATACAATTTAAAAAAATACTCCCAGTAAATTAATATGAAAATAAAATAATATGATATAACCTTAAAGGTTAAATTATTTTATAAACAAGCAATATCAACCATATTTCGTTAAAATAATTAATGATGTCTTCTATGGTAAATAAAAATAAAAATATTTTACAAAGAAAATAATTAAAAAGAAACATAAGTTATAAGAATATAATGTATAAAAAAATTTAAAAATTTTAAATAGGTAAAAATTTTATAATGAAAACATCATGTTAATGTATCAAAATATTTTTTTTTGGATTTTTTATCTATCTATATATGTATAAAACAATAAGGAAAAATAATTTTAATTAGCAATAATTTTTCTTTAGTTCAAAAAATGAACTTGGACTTTATATATTTTAAAAAATAATATAAAATTAAATACAGCCAGATAACCAACCAAAAATAATATTTTTAGTTCTCATTTACTTATAAATTTATTTATTTATCTAAATTACTAAACGATTAGACAAATTCTTATATGAACAGAAAGATTCATCTTATTTCAATCTATTTGCTTCAATCTCTTATTCAATTTTTTTTTTTTATAATATTCAGTACCTATCCTGTTACTTTTTTATTTATTTATAAATATAGCCTATGATTAATTTATAGTTAATTATTACCTTTAGATTATTTGTTTAGCTTAATAACTTCCAAATTAAAAATGAAGAATTTTATGTTTAAGAACCTTATAAATAAAATTTTATTAAATATATAAAAAACTTAAAAACAACTTAAAATAATATTTATATAAAATTATAGATCAGAAATTAAAAAATACTGTATAAGTACCTGATATCTAATAAAATCTAATAGATATACAATTATTAAAAGTTTAAGTATTATTCTTAATTATTTTATTTTATTTTATACTACATTACAGGTTGGTGCCTAAAGTACGGTTAAAAGCTAAATACATAGTAAGAACTATTATAAATTATTATATAAAATAATAAATATATTTAAAAATAAACTATTAAATTTAAATTTAATATATATTAATATATTTTAATTATTACATTGTAAATATTTAAATTTAAAACATTCATAAGTCAAGGATAATATACAAGGTACAAGAATTTATGGGTATCAATCTATAAATATATAAAAATAAAAATAATTTTAAAACTCATAACTGTCATTGACAGACATTATTCATATAGTATATTAACAAATTGCTTAATTAATAGCAAAGTAAAGAAAATGTTTTTGTGTAGATAGAGGTTACTAGACATTTTGATGACAAAATGATTTTCAAATTTTAAGAATTAATAATACAATTTTATGATGATAAATATTATGCAAACATTTAAATTATTTTTAAATTATAAAACAAATATGTTTTAAAGGTTGAATTAAAATAAATATTGATTTTTCAGAGATTGCTACATTTATCACTAAGTATAGGAGTGAACATTTAATTATACATTCAAGGTTCAAGAAATTAAATAGATATATATATATATGCAAAGTTAGATTTTATAATTCAAAGTTATTAACTATACAAGTTTTTTATACTCAATTGTTGGTTTATTTAATAACAATACAAAATCATGGAGTATAATTAAAGAATCTGAGTCACACCATGCAGTGAAACACAAAAAAGCAAAATACCAATTTTCATTTATTTACTTACCTATTTATTTTTATTTAAAATTAAGATACATATTTTTAAGATATTTGAATATGATAAAATAAATTTTAAAATATACAGCAAGTAAATTTTTTATTTTATTATGTGCTATGTATTATAATTTAGGGGATTAGAAACACAATGAATATTATAATAAAATTTAAGCCATTATGATCAATACAGTTAATGTAATAAGAGTGATACAATTTAATTGCTCTTATAAATAAGATTAATTAATGATAAAGAATGGTTACACAAACACAACTATTGTTCACATGAATATAAACTATTTTAATGCCTAGTTTTTAATAACTATTTTAATAACTACTCAAAAACTACATTTGATGAAGAAAATGAAACACCAAAGACAGGAAAGGAACGCAAAGTTTATCCTTAAAAATGGAAACATCAAATAATCGTGTTTTCTGTATCAGAATATAAAATTTTTGTTTATGATTGTGAAATGCTTGAATACGTCACGACATTTGACTACATTGATGGGTTATATTCTAGGACTTTCAAACTTGTGAAGAATCGAGTTGAGCAACAGCTACCCAGCAAAAAGGCTTACAAGGAACCCGTTTCTATAAATGAAAAAAAAACTCAAGACATATAAAAGTTAGAGAGATACATACCCTCAGAAGCAACTGACTTTTATCAAAATATATATATGTGAAAGACCACCAGCATAGAAGAAAATTAATACATTTTTAATGTCTCACTTCTCTTTTTTTTTTTAATTTTAAAAAATATAATTTTTTTTTTGTGAAAATTTAACAAACTAAGGTTATTAAAAATTAAGTTTAATTACATATTACATGTGTTTTACTCTAACTATTCATTGTACACTATTTTTAAAAAATTTAAAATGAGGTTTCAGAGAAATTATTAACAAAAACGTAATTGAGAAGAAAAACAGTACTTGTCCAATAATTTTTTAAATCATTTTAAAACAAACAAAACATTTTTATAACCAATAATTTGTATTAACAAGTCATTAGAACTATATGAAAGCAGCCATAAGATTTTCTGGCTTTCAGAGTCTATATGTTACAGCATACAGAATTTTGAAACTTTGAACTTGATTATCTCAAATTGTATTTATCAGACTAGTACTGTTCTTCCACTGATTGATTCACTTGTATTAAAATGTTTTCAAATAATGCAGTTAAAGAACACAAGAAACAATATATTAATAAAAAAATAAGCAAAAATCTGTATTATTTAAGTTGAGATTAATTATTAGCTATTTTTTTTTTTTTGTCTACTCTTTTTAATTTCTTAGTGATTATCTTGAACTGCAGAATGGCGCATTCACGTCATAATGAAATTTATCAGAATAGATATGATTATATTACTTTTATGTTCGAAGCATGGAAATGTAATAGAAATATTTTAAACATCTTCAACTGTAAGATCAAATACATTTTTTTATTTGCAGTGATTAGCAAAGCACTCTTATACTTTGTATAGAAAGTGAAATAAATGTAAATTTAGATGGGTTAATCCTCCTATTGATTTTAAATTAGTAAGCTCAGTTTCTGGCAAATCATTTAAAATTTTCATATAACTACTGTAATAATATAACCCTACATACAACTAATACTTTACAGATGTGGCGAATATGTGTACTGAACCCGTAACGCATTCTGACCATCAGCTATCAATGCAATTTAGATATAGAATAGTAGCTAACCTGTATATCTTAAACCGTGGTGCACATATACACACTTGTCTGGTAACAGCATTTGAACAGAATGTAAACACACACTCAAGTTTGTGTTATATTGCTATTTAATTTACCATTATTGATGGCAGAATCAGGCAACAATAATGAAAAGAGCACAGAGCAATAGGAATACAATTAGTGCATTAACGTATTTACATCTTCACACTATTGACTTTCATACATTCCCTGTTCACTGCTACGGAAGTGAATTGAATTATCAAGATATAAAGTTTGGCAACAAAAGCAATAAATTCCGATGGAAGAAATCATTTGTACATTAACAATAGAAAACTGTGAGAAATAAACGTTCAAATGTTAACAAAAAAAATATTTCATTCTACAAGTCCAAAGAAAATTTGTTTTAAAAAATACTTGATAACACAAACACACACACACACACACACACCAAGACACCTCCATACACACACGCACACACATGTTGATTCATTGAGAATTTTCATCAGAATAGGCATTGGGTTCACAGGTGCACCTGTTTCTGCACACACTATAAACATGCTTGTTTAGGATATGGCCAAGGTTGATGGCAAATGAAAACCGAAACTGAGACCGTGTTAACACCTCTCGTCAACGGTGTATTAGTTATTGATTTACCGTAAAAACCAGAAACGTATTGATGAGTATTACATTACTCACCGCCAACGACGATGATTCTGACACATGATATTCGGACCTCGGAATTCGAGGGTGAAATCACGTGCACAGATCGGAGCGACGCGACTAATCCCGAATATCGATCGGTAGCGGATGATAGCCGAGAAAAACGCGTCAGACCGACGCATCAATATCGACGAGACCGCGTACACCGCGAGCAAAGCGCAACAACGACGACGATAGTACAAGTAAATGATGGTCAGGTACGGTGATTACGTACGCACCGATAATAATGTATACAACGTCCGATTAAAATATCAATCGCGTACTGGGAGTCCGCCGTTACACAATCGTTAACGTTATCGGAACGCGCAGTGCGTTTGCTTGGTTAGCGATGTGCGTGTGCGCTCACGTGCGCCCACTCTTGGATCGCGTATCATTCAGGTGAAAACGAAACGTCGGAACAGCGGAACGAACGCGAACGGAGCTGCGCGGCGACTGCACGCGGTAGCTGTAAAACAATGTCCGACGTAGTAACGCGCGAAAAAATTTATTGCGCAACAACGTCGAAATAGAAATGTTCACGTTCTATCATGTGCATAATCTGTCATAAGTGCACTAGTAATAATAATAATAATAATAATAACAACAACGACGACGTCGTCGTTTTGCGAGAGGAACCAAATTACAATACCTATAACGCAATGTGTATACGTACGTGGATGCCGTCGGGGTATGGCGCTGAGATCCTCGCGCTTGGGGTGCGAAGTGTGCCGCCACGGAATGATCACGTTTCTACGGTACAATAAACACTACACCGTCAGTTCGTCGCGTGCACAACTTGTCGCACGACGATTGCGATTGTTGACGCTATCGTTACGTAGAACTACAGTGCACGATGATTCTGCATTCTCATTTTATCACGCGCGATCTGCTGGGCGTGAGTTACTGCGGTATTCGACGTCCGCGGCGAACGGTGCGCACCGATTCACAGCGATCAATGGAGGTGATGCGCTCCGTTCTACCGCCTCCACGTCAGGCCACCCCCGTTAGACAACCGTTGCAAGCGAATACCCCTACGGGTTTTCCGCCTCTGTAATTCCGTTACATTATATATCCTCGTCAGATGATAGCAGACAAAGAAAACATTAAGGTATTTGCGTATGATTTCATTTCCAGCCCGTATGATATCTTGTTGGACAACGATAACAACGTACTACTACACCTATTCGTTTATCTTCTTAGTAATTGCACCTATTGATATATTGAGCAGCCGGTTATCACCATGTTTTCATCCCTTATATTAATTTTTTTTTTCGTTATAGATCATTAGAAGTTTTTTAAGTATCCGAGTGAATTTGTCATTTTCAGATAACACCTACGTTTAGTTTGTTAAAAGTAGTTGGAAATAACCTATTGCAATGGATGAGTGCCTATTATTATTTGAATACGACGAATTATGAAAATGATTTACACATTTATTTTCGACCGGTAAAGGCATCATAAAAAAATTTATTCGTTTAGTAATTTTCATTTATTTATTATATTTTTAAAATTAATGTATTATGCCGAAGGAAAATAACCAATAAAAAATCTAATAAGGGTTTTAAACGACTAATACGCTGTTTTATGTGAAAATAATTATTTTTGTTAAAATTCAGACTTTTAAAGCGTATGAAAAAAAATCTTGACTTAAGATTTTTGACATTTTTTTCAGTTTTGTTAGGCGATTATATAAGTAAGTTCATATTCAATTTTCAAGTCTTAATAACTAAAAATAAAATTGTGTTAGATAAAAATTTCTGAAAAATAATATATTTTCAATATTTTTAAAATCCTATATTTAACCCATAGGTGTAACTTGGAAATTTAGGGGGGAAAAAATATAATTACATATCCAACGAAAAGATTGTCCGCGGCTAAACGCTACTTTACCACCTAAATATTATATAAAATTATTCATTTTCTAACATTATGTTAGATAAGCGAAAATTGAAAATTAAGACTTATAAAAAAAAAATTTTGTAGTTTTAGCTAAAGCCAGCTGTATTGTACTTATTTTAAAACAAGGTATGTTAAATATCAGAGGGGGCACTGCCCCTCCTAATTTATTCTAGGGGGAAATTCCCCCTTGCACCACCAGTTTACGCCTATGATTTAGCCTATAAATGGTTAACATTTTTTTTTTTTCAAGTCTATATAAGAGTATTGTTGATATTTTGTGAAAATTTTAAGTAATCTAACACGATTACTTTTGAAGTTATGATTAACTAAAATCGATTCAATAAAAATGTGGGACATTCTGTATAACTAATGCATTTTTATTAAGCAATATATTAATACTTAATCAATAATCACATTAAATATTTAGTTTATTTTATCTTTATTTTATTTTTATTTTATCTATAGTTGAAAAATGTTTAAACCTTACACATCAAATTATAAACATAAATCAGGAAGTTTAAAACGGAAAGAAAAAAATAGACAGGAATTTGAAAAATGTAAATCTGACAAAAAACAAAAAATACTTAGGAATTTTTTTTAATAAATTTGAAAGTTCTCCAATCACATAACTTGGTGCTTCTCAAAACGTTGGTAAAAAAAATGTACTAATTACTCATAAATCCGTTTCAAATAATACCATGAGAATAAGGAATGTAGTGTTCATACGTATTTGAAATTAGATGATAGTATAAAAGAAATGCAACTTCTATGTAGTGTTACGGACATACATATATGTAGGCCCTTATGACTTTTATTACATAGGTGGGATTACATAGATCGTAAATAGTAAAAATCGGGAAATGATTATAAATAATATAGTATTCGCAACAATAAAGGAATAAAGGAACTATTAGATTAAGACCCAAAGGTAACACGATGTTACGGATATACATAAATTTAGGTCCTTACAACTACCAATACGATACAAATCACATAAATAGTGGAAATCGGTGAACAATATGTATAGAAAAGAATAATTAAGACCCGAGGGTAACACGAATATGAGCTGTCAGACTACATTTTTATGTACTATAATAAATTCAATTGGTAAAAGCGCATAATAAAATAATAGAAATGTGCGAATAGTAATATTATCGAGGTCAACCATTTAAATTACAATTTAGCCTAAGTATATAAGGGGGCTGGGAATAGACCAATATTCAGATATGTTAAAGACGTGTTTTAGCGAGCACCTCCACGCCAGTTTATTTGTCAAATTAATTAAATTATTTGTACTTAGAAAAATTTTCAATAAACAGTTTAACTTAGTTTGAGTATTTTTATTTGGAATATTCATAAATCTACATCTTTACGATTGAACGACGGCACGCAACAGTAGATTATTTCTTACGTTAGCAATTAGTATTGCAGGTGTGGTGCACAATGATCAATGAACTCATCGGAAACAAATCAAAGATTACCGTAGATCAACACTGAATGAAAACCATCTTAATGATTATACAATGCTTTACTTATCAAGTGACGCAGCAGAGTTGATAGATTTACAATCTACCATCAAATTTTTTTCAAAAAAAAAAAAAGCTAGAATAGGTTATAAGTGTATTAAATATATAAATAGGTATTTTATTTTGTATTTACGTTTTTTAATATTATTAATTTTCAACTGTTATACGAGTTGATAACATAAATTAAATTAAAGTATTTTATTATGTAGGTATTCTTGAATTAAATTTAAACAGTTATAAATGGCATTTTATCATTTAATTCTTGTACATGGATGATATTGTATAAAAAAAAATAGTTTTTAGTTTGACTTAGTAGTAATTTTATATAGAATTAAATTCATTGGAATTTAAATAAAATTTGTATTTATAATTTTAATGGACAACTAATTGTATTTTATTTATTTGTATTCAATATATAAGTAATTGAAGCAATTTTTTTTATGAATTAGAGTTGGAAGTATTACGTCAACATTTAATTTTTTTGGTGGGAGGCGGGTAGAATACTTTTCTTATCCAACCTTTTTTAACATTTTAAACAAAATATAATTATGTGGAGGCGCAGGCTTTAATTTTAAATGTCTGACCGGGCCATTATTTTTAGATCCGGCACTGGTAGCATAATAAAACAAACGTTTTAGTATCTAAGCAAAATATTAAACGGTATAATTTTATACAATAATTACAAATATAAATATTATTGTATAGTAAATTATATTGCACCAAACTGAGGTTTATGATAAAATGATGGTTTGTGCCAATACGGTAGTTACAAATTATAAATAGAAACGATATTTCTTTAAACACATACAATTGATAATACAACTGGATATTGATATTCAATGCATTAATAATATTTATCTACAAGTACCTTAAGAAGTAATTATAATTTTCCAATCATACCTATATGTTAGCTTTATTAAACCTACAAAGATTACAATTTACAGGTAGACTAATCAAAAATCATATATTTCTTTGTACGTTTTTTTATTATTTTTTTTTACTAGAATATAAGCGATAACGAATAACATATAAGTCAATGATAACTAGTGAATTTAAATAATACATTATTATTATATTATAATATTACTATTGGTTATTGTTTAAAATATCTGATGATAACACAAATAATAAATCAGATACCTACATGTAAATCAACAAATATAACTGTTTTCATGTGAAAAAATGTGTTAACTTCCTAAAATTTGGCACTTTATATAAATAGAAAAATGTCCTAACAATTATCTTTCTGTGTCCATTATTTAAACGATTGTAAAAAAATTATGACCTAAACCATAAAAATTTTGTACATTTTGTATACTTTGATCTTAACATTATCTTAACAATTTTTAATTTGTCTCACAACTATTTAAACATCTTTCAATAAAATAAGTAAATTTAGAATGATTTAATTCAAGTGAATAAATCTTACAACAATAATGAACCATTACTCCATCTATTCTTTGAAAATCAGAAAAATAATTTAGATTATAACTTCTAAATATAACAAAACTAATTATTTTTACAAATATAATGTAATCAAAACATTTTTTTAAAAAAATGTCTGTGATCTGTCAAATTAGTATCTAATCAATTTACTCTGTAAGTTTTGTACAAAACACCGAGGAAGGAATTGGAACTTATGTAAAATTATGTTCAGTAAGCAATTTTATTGATTTTGATGTAATAAGTTTCGAGTTGGATTATATTATATATTATGGTTTGTAAATTATATACAATAATATCAATTCTTTAACTATTTTGTTAAATGTAAAAACTAAAACAATTTTTCAATAAATTTTTTTTAAATATGTATTGATTTTTAAGGTACCCAATTTGATTATTTGAGCACAAGGATTGAATCGCAAAAGAAATATTTGATTGGATTTCTATTACATCATTAATATTATTTACAATTATTTTCAATTTAGCAGTTGAAATAATCTTTTTTATGTTGGTTTAAATATATTGTAAGTAGCATTAAATTATTATATCGTTCATGTATAAAATTAAAAATTTTCATAACTACTGGATAATGGATTTTAAATAAAAAAATTATACATATTTAACATTTATAACAGAGTATATTAATTTTTATTGAGTAGCATGATCACAATAAAAACCAAATGTCTTTTTTCAATTTTTTCTTCGGTACTTTAAACAATAAGTTAAAAATATATATAATATAAGAAAATACCTCGATATAATGTAATATTTTCATCTTTTTAATAGCATATAAATATATTTGAAATTATCTGTGATTACTTGTTCGCTAGTTTTCAGTATTTAGTAATATACTAAATGTAATTATACTAAACCGTTGAGCAGTTTTCGAAGAAATCAAAATAAATCAAGTTGTTCATAATAAAAGTCTAATTATACTTGTATGCTGTATTTAATATTTTTTGAATGGTGTCTATTTGCTAAAAATAATATTTACTGAATTTCAAAAAACTAATAACCAACAAATCTTATTATTCTATGAGATTAGGAACATTTAAAACCGTTTGTATAATTTTTAAATAGTACATAAATAGCTAAATATTTGCATTATTTTTACATAGACACTTTTTAATAAAACAAAGTAGCAAATAAGTAGGTATTGAAATTGAAATTCAAGTGTTGCGAACCATTCAGTCTTCTTTATTAGCAACTTCTAAACATTTGTTTTTTCCATTGTGAAAATATTAAATTTTGACTGTAACCAAATATTATTTGTAAAGAAGTAAAAAAATAGTTCCCTCTATATGCTACTGAAAATGCATTGCCAAATAAATAAATTAACAAAATTATTTTCATAATAATAGTTTATTTGGAATAAATCAAAATTAAATGAAACTAAATTAAACAAATAATTTGAAACTATAACTATTTGGTACCATTTTTAGTAAACGTTGCTATAAAAAACGAGTAATTCTCAAGCCGAGGTTTTGTAGATCAGTACAAAAATTACATACAAAATAAAAATGCACCAACAGAAAACAAATGTGTAAATTATTATTTATGGGTAAATGAATTTCTTTATTTTACTGAACTTAAATCATAAATATGACAACATTTGGATTATCAAAACATAATATTAATGGAGAAGTTTAAGTTTAGTTTTATATGATATAGAATATGTTTCATTAGACAATATTTATAATACTGTACATTTATACAACTATAAGTCAGTATTTAACATAATAAAGAATTTTTTTACGATTTAAACTTTTCACTATTTAATAATATTAAAATTTTTTATACAATATCAATGATTGTGATTTTATTCGTTGATCATAAAAATACCGAAGTACCTATCGGCATATCTGATACAGTTTAATTTTAATAACATTATTTCAGTCTTGCTGTATCTATTTAAATTTTATGTTTATTATTAAAAACATGGAAATAAATGGTTATTTTATCAAATTAAAGTACTAAAAATAATTAAAACTAAAAAAAATAATTTTTACAACTTAGTTTTTTTTTTTAATGCATAAATTAGCATTTATAATAGCCTCTAGTTTATCTCTAGTTATAATATACGAAAGAGATAATTTTAAAAAGTAAAAATAAAAGTTGTAATTCATTTTATTACACCAAATTTGAATTTGATATTCTGTAGAAGGATATGAAATTTAGTTAAAATGGGCATATAGTTAAATGCTAACTTATGTACATTATACTAGTCAACAACAATATTAAATAACAATATTATTTTCAATATGTTAAGACATAAGTAAAATAAAGTCATGATAATAATGGATACTGTAAGAATAAAAATAATTATAATAATAATTGTAGTAATAATAATGATAATAGTAATAATAATAATAATAATGTAATAATATTAAAGAAATAAATTGCCAAAATTATATTAGACAAATAAACAGTAAAATTCAAAATTATTATAAGTAAAAAAAAAAAAAAATTGGTTTGTTATTGAGAATTACTCTTAGATTGATCCATTAAAGTCTCCAATGGTCTGAAGGAAAATGAATGATTACTGTTGGAAGAATCACCACTGCTGCTACATATAGAATCGGTGACTAAAGTGGCGTTCATTGTTGTAGGAACAATACCGGCTACTTGCATTGGTTCTGGCCTAAAATAATATAAATAATATTTAAAAGTTTGCAATAAATTTTCACAATTTATATAATTTTAATCATAATAGTATAATATGTTTTAAAACGATGTTGTCCATTTGGGATACATACATTAAGGGAATAAAATAAAAATAAAATTGTAATAATACATTTTAAGTATAACTAGTTAATTTAATAATGTGTTGACCATAAAACTAAAATGAATGATACTCAAGCAAATATGTATATGTAAAATATACATTCAATCAGGGCCGTGTTAAGGGGGGGGGGGGGAAAGGGGGAAATTGCTCCTGGGCGCCATAATTTTGTATAAGTTAGGGGGCGCCCTTATCTGCACTTAATATGCTACCTGTGCCCAGTGACCCATAGAAAAATTTTGCCCCGGGGCGCTGATATGTTTGACACGGCTCTACATTCAATGTAATATAACATGATGTAAGTATTGTATGAAAGTTAGATTATTTTTGAAATGGGATTAATAATTATGAATACCAATTATAAATGTATTGGTATAATATAGAAATACTTATTGGACATTATTAGTTATATAAGAAATAATTTATAAGTTATAAGATCAATATAAATAAAAATGATTAGCATTATACAAAATAACCAGGCATAGAATTCTTCACTTAAATTAAAACATAGTATATTCATATTATTCAAAAGAGTTTTATTATTAAGTTTTATAACTTCAAAGGGTATAACTTAAAATAATTTAAATAAATTAAAGAGATAATCTGAGTAGATAGAAAATAATATGTTAAATTCATATAACAAATGTTTATAATAATAACTGTGTATTAATAGTGTAAGACAAATACAGTAGAACCTCAATTAACAGGGGTAATGGCATTAAAACATATTAATTTATTAGGTTTCCAATTATTTAACAAATTTGCTATGAGCATTATTCTAATTCATTTTTTTATGAATTATTTGAGAATCCTTTGTTTTGCATTTTAATGATAATGGGTAAATGATAGGTAAATGATTCTGATTAAACACACCTGTTATTAGTAATCAGTAATCCCCATTTTTTTGGATTTGGTTCATAATCATCCATTTCACATTTCCTCTTTACCGGTCCTATAGTACTAGGGCGCATTGAAATTGGGCTCAAGCTTCGCCTAAAACATAAACTACGTAAAAAACTATCATTCCAATTATATATCTACATTTATAAAATGAGATATTCATAAGAAGTGATAATTATGGTGTATAATCTTAAAGTATAGATCTTGATAAACATTATTTGGCATTTTGTTAATGTGATTTTTAATTATAAACTAAATATTACTAAAATAATTACCCAGAAGTAAAAGTTTTACGAGTGGGACTAGGCGATAAATTAGGCTTAAAAAGTGATGGTGATACACAATGTCTCAATGATCTGGTTGGTGATGGTGATGATGGAGCAGAAGCCATTGATAAATTTAAATGCAAAGGGTCGTATAAATTGGGTCTTCCAAAAAGTCCACCAGCCTGTTTAGCAAATTGTCCTTCGTCAGGCTGTAAAATAAAAAATTGCATGAATTAGTACATATTAAAATAACACATCAAAAAACTATTATTTGAATAGTAATAATGTTTATTTTACCTAAGCATGAATATAATATAAATATTATATAAAATAATTTACAAAAAACTTAAAAATAACTTAGATAAAAAATGTTTTTAGTCACGTTAAAAAATATTAATTTACCAAATCAATACTATATAATACATTCATTATTTAGTAGTACTACACTGCCTCTTTTGAAATGTTGTTTCTAATGATTGAATTAAAAATGGATTTATAATTCATTTTGAATATTTTGAATTTATAAATGCTAAGACTAGAGTATTAATTTATCAGATGACATAATTACCATTTTTATTTTAACTAAATGTTATGATTGTTAAAATCACAAACAGATAATAATATTTTGTAAAATTATGGTTTTTTTAATAGCACAACAGTATTATATATATTGGTTGTATTAAATTTATAAGATAAGTATTACATTTTTTTGATTACTTTATACATTTATTTTGATATATATTCCTATACATAAAAGATTAATTAAGTTTTTATTACACTGGTGAGCTGGAAAGGAAAAATTCAATCAGACCAACCATAATTATTTTATTAAAATCAGAAACACACACATAAAAAAAATATGTATATATATATATATATATATATATATAAAATATTATTATTTTAATTCATTACAATAGGTTATTTGGTTTTTGAAAAACCATTAATTCAAACATGTTTGTACTATTTAATTCATTATTTATTTTTCTACTCTTAAAAAACTAATATTATATTTTATTATACTTTGGTGACTGACAAGGTATATCCATTACTATTCCAAATAGATGTAAAAAATGAAAAAATTATGAAGTATGTACTACATTTTATTATTAACATTATACAACTTTACATTCAATTCAGGACAATTTCAATATGCTCAATCATAATGACATTATTTAAATAATAAACAGAATTAAAGATATTTTAAGACTAAGTATGGGTTGCTATTTTTAATAATATAATTTGTGTACCTCAACTATATACTGACTGATATTAAATTATTTAAAATTAATAATATTCTAAGCATATTTTTATTTATTTTTATATATAATAAACTATTTGTTGATTTATATATTAAAATATTCCTTTATTCTTTTCAATAAATAATATTTGTATATGTTAACAACATATATTCACATTGGAAGAAAATTTACTAATTATAGTTTTTATTGTACTAAACTGAATTAGAAAGAAAACATTTTTTTAGACCGGAAACTTCATGGATGATACTTCATATTTTGTTTGCTTATCTATATTCACATTATTTAAATAAAATGTATGTTTATCGTTTAATTATTATTGAGGGGAAACTCTATGAGTTGAGGCTTCTGTTGATGAACTATTTTCAAATATTTTATTGTAAGTCCATTAATATATTTTATTGTGGTTTCTATTCCAAGTTAACACCGTATCGCAAAAATATATATATGTATATATTAATTTAAGACATATATTAGGACAAATAAATTGTGTAATACTGCTTTAATCATACTTTTAATGTAATGATTTTATTAACTTACATACAATCAAAATAGAATATATTTAGTAGTTGATTGGACTCAAAGTAAATGGAAGGATTCCTGAATTTTTATACTTGTTATACATAATACGCAATAACTTATATACACTGAAAAAATTGGCAATAAAATTAAGATTAACTCATATACATTTTTTTTTATAGTACATTCATTTTTAAATAGTAGGCATAACAAAAATATATAGAAAAACCAATCTTTTTTAATACACTTCTTAATAAGATATTAATTTTAAATAACAATAACTTTTTTATTAATTTTGAATGACATTATTATGTTTCAACCCAAATTATTAAACAAAAAATAATTTAACAGAAAATATACTTATATAAGCGCAGTTTTTTAGTAAAATCTTACAAATATAGCTATTGACTATTGACACAATGCAAAATCAATATAAATTGGAAATTTTTATAAATAACTACAAGGGGTTGTATTATTATTTCGGATAAAATAAGCCATGCTACCCTTCCCTACTATACTTTGATAATTGATTATACTACCTTGATGATTCTTATTTAATAAAGGTACCTACATAAATATTAATTGCTCAGTCTTCAATTCCCTACTTTACAGAATTACAATTTAGAATTTATACTGAACGTGAACCATTATAATATATTTTACTTTGATTAAATATAAAATACAAAACAAATAGCATGCAGTGTCCTTTTATTTATAATAATTATTATAACAATTATTGTTATATAAATTATATATATTATTCAAGTCCAAAAACTTAATCCTATCTATGGTAAATCTCATTATTTATAAACTTGAAGCTAATTTTGATAATAAATATATTTTTAAAGAATATCTTATTGCTGACTCGCATTAATTTGAAATCTTAATACATTGTGTAATAAAAATTACTTTCTTTCACTATTTCTAATTAAACTGTAATATTTACTTGTTGATTGGCACTTGTTAGTCATTATTCATTCATTATGAAGTAAATGTATTATTGTGATAGTGTTTTATTTAAACTGAAGATAAAATAAATTATACATAGATCGTTTTTTAAATAAGAAACATCAGTTGAATGAGAAATCGTTTGGCTTAAATAAAAGTAAACATTTTGTTGATACCAAATAATTGCCTAATCAGAGTTCAAATCCTCAAATTTTTGAGGTAAATGTAAAAAATATTGATGAACCATCAAAAAACACTAAGAATTAGAGTCACATCATCTGGTGGAAAAATGTCTATACCTCAATACCTTTTTTGTAATGAAAAACTGTCCAATAAAGTTATGGTACTAAATAAATTAAAAAAACAACTATTTGCAAAAAATGGCAAAGATTAATATTATAAATGATCGTGGTTTTAAACTACAGCACTCTAAAATATTTTAAGATACTGAGCACATTAAAATATAATTTTACATAAGTTGATTTAGCCTAAATAAAAAAACAACTTTGTGGTATTCAATAATTATTAATTGTAATACAATTACTTTAGTATTAATATAATAAAATCCTAATATTAAATATATATATATATATATTTATCAGATATATAGATTGGGATAGTGTTCTGTGAAGAAAAAAAGGTTGGTTTAGCAGGTGTCCTATCGACATCAACCAACGTTTCCTAGCTCGATTAGTTTGTATAAATTGTTGTTAAAAAATTATAATATAGTTATTTGAGGTCAGTTAAAAACCAACTGTAGATATGTAAACTAGAGTAGTAATTGTAGATTCTGAAACAAGGCTAAATACTCAAGTTATTATGTATATGTGAACATTGTAAAAATATTTGCATAAATAATATGTACTCAATAGATAATTGTAATGGTAATTTGGTAAGATCAAGAATGTCAACTAAAGATTTTAAATACACTTAGATTAATCAAAAAGTTAATTGTAACTAAATATTTCGACAATTGGTAATTTTATTGTAACTTTTTAATTACAAATTTTTATGTATGTAATAATTAACTATTAATTAGTTTCTAAAATAAAAATAATTAATTTTTCTTATATATTATAACAATGTAATAAAATGCTTATATTTAGATTGATTGGTAAAATATTGATAAAAAAAGGTACCTGCTAGATGAATGCCAAAATGTATGCTAGAAGCATTAAATTATACTATACTTATAGAGAATTACATAAAGATCAAAATGTTAGATTTTTTTATAAGCAATATACAATGAAATTAAAAGCCCAGTTTGCAATATTTTACTTTATAGGTATTACTCAAAAATGTTATAAAAGTAGTTGTGTAAAAAAAAACTTTGATAGATCTATATTTAAAACGTTGATTGTCATACAACTGTTGGCAGTTATATTATTGTTTTTCTTACTAGGTCACACTATATTTTTGATGTTATTTCATAAACCTACAAAGGTATATTTATAGAACAAATAATCGGAAAGGAAAAATATTTATAAGTATGTAGAAAAATGTATCTAAGGAAAACCAATAGATCAATCGATTCAAAATTTCCTCCTCTACACCACTATCAAAACATAATCATTATTAGTTTAATGCCATGCAAAATATTTGCATTTAAAAATAAATGTTAAAATGACGGTTTGCAATCAGAGGGTATAAATAATAATAAAATGCGACCGCCAGGCGCCTGTAAAAACACTGTAAAATTCTGTTATTATGTAGATGCCGGCGGTCATATGGCAATCAACGTGTTAATGCCATAATAGTTAATCATTCCTTTAAGTATTTTTTCAAGAAAATAAATTCATAGAATGTTATTTTATTATTATTATTATTATTATTATTTAAGTAGGCTTAAAAAAATGTTGAAAAATTAACTTTTTTTATTATCAAATGAGCTATATTATACATTACTTGTAATATTAAAATATATTTTGTGTTGAAATAGTATTTTTTTTTAATGTTAATCATAGAAGAAGATTAGAAAAAAATAATAAAATAGTAATTTAATTTTATAAATACTTAACAATTATTACGCATCTAGATTTATTTTAAAAAATTTTTTAATAATTACTTTTGATGGAGAGTCTATCATGATAGATAAATCTTCCCATGATTGTGATATTTGCATTGCAGAATGTATTTCTCTTTCGTGAGCCACTTCTCTATTAACCATATCAATTGTTTCTTCCTGTCGCAACTGATTTACTCTATGAACTAACTTTGGTGAAGTCTGAAATACATAAATATTTATTTTTTTTTACCTATACTTATATATAATATAGTTTAATAATAATACATTTTATAGTAATATAAAACTGCACAGCATAATTTACTTTTAAAGGCCTGTGAAATAAGGTACATCTAAGGTCAAAAAATATATTACAACGGAACAAAATGATGATAAAATGGTATGTTAGTCACGAGTTGTTTTTTAATATTTTTATTTGAAAATGTAATAATGAATTGGAAAGCATATAATTAAAATATTGTTTGTATATTTTCTGAAATAAGTTACATGGTTTTTGGTTGTAACCACATTGTTAGGATGAGGAATTATGGAGACCAGCTAATCTACTATACAAATTAAGATAACTCTAATATTTACAATTATATTTAAATACATAAAAAATACATATCATGTTTATATCGAGCTTATTTAAGATAAAATGAAATTATAATGTTATGTTAGGTTTGTGAAAAATAAATGAATTTATTCTGTTAAAAATTAAAAAAAAAAAAAAAATACTTAAATATCTGGAAACAAAATGTAGAACTTTTAAGAAGAAAACATATTGATTTAAAAATATTTAATAAATTTAATAGATTTTTTAAGCTATTACTCATTTAATTCTTCCAAATATCATAAAATAACAAAGTAATCAAAGATCAATAATAATGCAATACAATAGTAAATTAAATAACCATTTAAGTTAAGTGAAAAAAAGTTTAATAGCTACCAATTGTATTTATTTTGTTTAAACAATTCAAATAAGTATTAAATATAAAAATAATTCTATAACCTTTGAATAAGCTATTTAGTAAATTATTGTTGAATTTAAATTTAAAAATGCACTCAGTTTAAAAATGTTAACTAAATTAAGTATATGATTAAATTAAATTTAAGACCCCAGTAACTTACATTTGGCATTATAGTATGAGGGCTTCCACTCGTACTAAATCTACGGAAACGTGGTTGTACATTTTTTATAAACATATTACACGGACTCTCTCTGAAACAAATAAGATTGTATTTATTACGATGTCAACCATAAATAGATAAGTCAATGTGTGGGGCATCAATTTAATAATATTTATTGAAATAGTCGACGAAAGAATATATCTAACAAGTGTGCCTGGCATAGTCGGACTAAAATAATTACTGTTCCTAAACTAGACCAGGATTAAAACCTATGCTCATACTAATGAAAAACGGACCACTCATACTTGCGTAGTTACTAGGTATTTCAGTATGGTACAAGTGATGCATGTTTTTAAATATAGATTTTATGACAAAACTCGATAAAATGTAAAAGTGGTCGAAGAACAGACCAGAAGTGTGTAATACTGTACATTGCATACAGTGAAAGATATGATCTAGTGCTAAAGTACCTAGACAGAGGAGCACATGGTGTGATGGAAACATTCAAGTCGTTGATCATCGGCGCACTATTGGACCGCTTCAGATTGGATGGGCAGTCGACCTCCATCTTGACAATTGGACCGTCTTTGACGGACATCGCGCGGCAGGAGAGAATCGCGGTGCGAGTGGAGAACAGAAGAGAGGTGTCTAGCGGGAACTTACTGCGCGACAGTCATCGGAGGGACAGCGATCACGTGCGAGTTAGAAGCGACGACGAAAATAACGAAAACAGGAGACCAGGCGCACTGTTCTTAGTACGGGAACAGGTGGCAGCGTGCGCGCGTGGGCGTGCGTCGATGACTATTGCGACGACAACGCTGCAGCAGGTGACGGGTATCGTTGGACGGCGGACCGCGGAAAACGTGACGAAGGCCGGTCTGGAGTTCGACGGACGGTGGAGAGTGAGCGAGAGAACGATAGACGGAGAGGGAAAGAGATAGAAAGAGTGAGAGAGTGAGTAAGAGAGTTGTGTTAAAGTGCGTATGCGCGGCGGCGGACACGCGCACACGCACACGCGGAAGATATCGGGAAGAGGAAAAACGGAAAAAACGACGATCCTCCGGTAACGAAGGCGACGGAGACAGGACGAACGGAACGCGAACTGATCGGCACGCACGGCGGAACTATCGGTCGAGCGGGCAAAGCGGAGGGGGTGTGACGAGACGCGAAACGTTTAGAGATAGTAGACGAAAAAATGATAAAAAATTAATAAAAAATAAAATAATGAATAAAAATATATATCAACAGAACGATATGTGGCTACGGACGAGAAAAGAGAAAGAAACATACGGCGGCCGAGGAGAGGGAATTAGAGGAAAAAAAATAACTAAATAACTAAAAACGAAAACGGAGAAACGCTGTGTAACGGCGTGTCGGAAGCCGCGCGCGCGGATGCCTACTGTCTGCAACAACGCTACAACGTTAACATTTGTTATCACGGTCTTCGGTTACCGCCGAAGCACGCGCAAGACCGCGGTGGCGGATGCAGCGGAGCGATATCGACCGGGCGGCGTAGGAGGGAAAAAAACATATGCGATCGTTTTTTCATCGTGTAACGTATACTATTACTATTACTGTCGCGGCCAGTGCGCGTGCGCACCGACGATCTCGCCAACGATCCGCCGTTTCCGTCGGTCACCGTGTCCGATCCAGCGCACGGTTCGCTACCTCCATCGCAACGCGTCCGTAGTGCAGCCTCCACCAGACCGACCTCCACGGTTCCATCCGCTAGCACGGTACCCATCATTGATCACATTGTTACGGACCGTCACAGCACGTAACGTCATGACAAATCGCCTCCACATAATATTCACACTGTTGTATAGGGATCCCATACGTCCCGTATTCGAATAAAGTGTAGTGGTGTCCCGACACAAGTATAAAAATAAAACTTTTGTCCCGTATAATCCATTTCGTATGCAGTGGCGTAGGAAGACTGACTAGCGTCCATGGCAAACTTAAGTTACCTTTCTAATCAATTAAAATTTGATGTCTTGATATTTTTTTTAACCTTTAATTTTACTAAAATTTTTTAGTATGAAATTTATACTTACAAATTATTATTACAGTGTTAATTTTAAATTTTGAAAATTTGCTTTTCTCGCTTTATAACTGGCTAATTCATAGATAATTTCTTCGTATGAAATTTTTTATTTAAATACCCTAATTTCATAATTTTATCATTAAATTCACACTATTGTGTACAAATAAACAACATCTACGTATTTCAAAAAATATAATGGTAAAATGTCGATTTAATTATAAAGTAAAAATATAACTTTTGCATCCCTTTGCAATTTGCGCCCCTGGCGTAGGCACAGTTCGCCATACCCTTGCTACGCCACTGTTCGTATGTACCTTGCTTTAAAAATGAAATTTATTAAGCTTTTTAAATTTTATATTATCGATAAACCGTAATATCTAAACCAAATGATAAATAATAATATTTGATTTAATAAAAAAAAATAGGGAAGTCACCTAATTTGAAGTATCAAATATCGTGCTTAACTTTATTTTATAGTATATTTAGTAGCTCTGAGGAAAATGAAATGTTACATAGAAGCCAAATGTAATTTTAGCTCCCAAATGTTTACAAAGAATTCGTATAATAAACATCACGTATTTAATTGTGTAATATGTTAATTGCTAACATAAGTCCCCTCACCCCCTCTCAAATCACCACCAATGTGAATTTAAAATATATGTATGATTTAAAATGTCTCGAATTTTTAAAAAATCAATCCCTACTATTACGGCACGGCATGGACCGTCACAAAACGTAACGTCACAACAAATCGTCCAAATAATAATATTCAAATGCATACGCAGGTATTCGTTAGGTGTAATTTAGTGTACTGACAAAAATTAAGTAAATGGCATTGTAAGATATATTTGGATATGCATCTTGAAGTTATAAATACATTTCGTCATAAAAAATATTGCTTTTTTTTAAATTTTCATCTAAATTGTAAACAGGCTCGCTAAACTTTTGTAATTCTGAAATTAATTCAAACTTGTCGAGATAATTTTTGTATTTATTACATAAATGGACTCCGGATCTTTTCAAGTCTTCCATAAACAATAAATAAATTATTGTTGAATCTATAAATGAAAAATTTGCATCATTTTTCATTAACTTACATTTTTGACGTAGTCCTGTTAAGATATTGCCGGTACCATTTTTAATCATTATTATGATATATTTTTTCTCTTATGTTATAAAACTCGTTTACTGCAATGTCAATAAAAGTATTATTATTTGCAAAATAATATGATATTTACTATATTGTTATGATAACCGATCGCTATGTATCGAATTCGATTTTTCGAGTACATAGTTATTTTTGTTCTTCATCGAAATGGGTCACAGCCCACATAGAGACGACAACGACCACGTCGCCGGAAAAGACCGAAGATGAGACGTAATATTATGGTACAATACATTATGAACAGACTTGTACTGGTTGCTCTAATGGGGCGGTTTCTGCAATCAGCGAGGCTATATTTTTTTCTTTTCAAGCTCAATTTACATTTTACTGTGATAAATATTTTATAATATTATTTTTAGCTGACAAACCATTAATTATTATAAGTAAATCATTATAACTAATTAGTATTAAAAATAAATAACAAAATCTCAACTTGATAGATATTATAAACAGGAAAATTTTTAATTATATATATATATATGGTAAATATTAAATTACCAATAGCAGCTCATGGCTTGTACAACAGGACGAACACACCCCTAACTACTAATATTTACGAAAACAAAAAAAATTATTAATAAAAATAATAAAGTAATAGTATATTAAAAAATTTATTGAATAATTTAATTTTTATGGTAATAAAACAGTGATTTTTAAATAATTAAATAAATATTTTTTATTTTGAGAATACATTTTGGGAGCGATCTCAGAGATTATCATTTGTGTATGCTGTAAATACGTATCCACAGATCGACGCTTTTGGACGAAATACACCGTCGTCCAAGCTACTCTTATAAATCGATGAAGGTGTTTTTGCATATCATACAAGGCCGTAACTGGAAAAAAATTTCGGGGAGGGGGGTCTAAAATTATTATTTAATACAATTTATAGTTAATAAACTATATTCACCGCTAAAATGTTTCTACTTTTGAAAATTTCGGGGGGGGGGGAGGGTCCGGACCCCTGGACCCCCCCAGTTACGGCCTTTATATCATATATACACTGTATATTATACAGGTGTAAACATAATCATAGTATTAGATCAATGGATTTTACATCTCACTACTAATATAATTATCAACAAAATCAAATCGATCCATCTTTTTTTCTTTTTGGCAAATTGATTAATATGTCTTTCACATTTAATTGTATCTCCCTGTTGATGTGTAAAAGAGCTTAATCAATCAAAGGTTCTTCTACCATTCTAGACCCTAAACATTTTCTTAATCTAATAAATTTAAAACAACGAAAAATATACAATAACTATTATCAAATAGAATCTCTTAAATATAAATATTTATAATATTATATAAGTATAGATCATACTATTATATATATTGTATAACATATTTTATTTTAAAATTATTAATAAAATAAATGAGCTAATCTGTGAAGAGTAGAGAAGCTCCTCTTTTCAGAAACAAAACTTACAGGCAAAGTATAAATTATGAAAAAAAAAAAAATGTTTAAAACAAACAAATATATTTGGACCGTATGTTCAATGGCTTGTTTTGGTAATTAGCGTTTGATTCGTACGTAATTATGTACCGGTGTTGTGCAAATAATTCTTCGTATAAAAATAACGTAAAACGTACAACCCAAAGGGGTAGGACGATCGTCCCATTGCCTCCCTTTATATCCACCACTGCTGGTCATACTAAGGCGTCCGAGGAAAATGTTTTCGGCTACACGAAAAAAAAAATTCTAGGGCCCCGTGAAAAAATCTGCCCCGCAAAACCTCTCGCTGGCGTTGACCATACCGACCGATAATAACCATCAAGCAAATACATTTCAACATCACGAACCGGAATAAAACATTATTGTTGATTATTATCGACGCTTTGTTTATCTACGGTTGTTCGGTCGGCATACTGTCGTTCGGTTCTGTGCGTCTTTACACCGTGGGCTTCACGTGATGTAAAAATGTACTGAAATGACCTCGTCTATCATTGGTTCCTCTTACGGAAAACATCGTAATAACGGGTGTATGAAGATTCAATAGTGAGTTTTTTTTATTTATTTATTTTTATTTTTTTAACACTTTTATTTCGCAGTCCACAGTCCATTAACACATAATTATATCGGATCAATAACATACTCACCTACTTGTATAGGTTTTCCAAGCACTCGCCGATCTATTTCAAAAATCCTTTCTAATAATATTTCAAAATCAAACAATTTATTAAAATCCGTAGCAGAAATTGAAGTGTACAAAAAACATGATGCGTCTCTGGTTTGTTAATTAATTATGATATAACGTTGAATCTTCAGTGTTTGATAAGATTTTATTTATTTACTATTTTTGAATCAAATTATATTTTATAAATACTAATAGTTTACCGTATCGGCTGATTGAACTTGAAGATTTTATTAAGAATAATTTCTTAGAATATTAATAGCTATCAAAATACGATAATGATTTATAACATGAACTGTACAGTGAACACCGAGGGCCGAAAAAGCCTTATTAATATAATATTTAGTAAAGTACAACTAGCGTTGCAGCGTTCTACGGTTACATATTTTTATTTTAGAGTTTTCTAGATTCATATTTTTTTTTATTTTTGTTTTTTTGTGTGATTGAACTGAAATCTTTTTCTTTGTCACCAAAAGTTCCTAGGGGTTCGTTATATTATTAAGAAGTTTCACATAACAAAATATTATGATTTACGATGAACGCAGTTCTTAAGACTTTTAGGCCCAGAACAAATAGTAGTATATTGTGGAATGTATCAACAGGTGAAAAATTGTTTTGCACCAACCCTTGGTCATGAATAATAATTGTTGTGCACATTATATATTTTGAGCTATAAATATACCATATAGTTATGGTTAGATGGTACTTATTAACCATCAACAGTAAATTATTATTTATGCAGCCGAAGATAAAAAACAATATTATATATAAACAACTTTATTAATATAAATATATAAATACAGTGGAATGCACACTTTGTGATTTGCTCAACGACACAGTTTACCGTTCAATACAGTTGTACATACCTTATAGAATGAGATAAAATATAGATGGATATAAATAAAATAATTATAATAATCAAATAAATAGATAAATAACGAAATAAAATTAATTTATTACAATATTAATAGTTTAATATTAATATTAAATATTTGAAGCATTCTTATTATTTGAAAAAATAATAGGTCAGTTAATAGTAGGTTAAAAGATAAAAAAAGCTTATAATTATAGAAATACTAAAAACTAATACC